TTTGTTTCACAGTAGTTAAGGTGCTGGCTCCCCACATGGCCGACTACGGTTTGAATCCTGGACCTGGTAGCTTGAAAAACATGCCGGGCGTGCACACGTGTGTGCTCAAAATCCTGAGAAGAGATTAGAAGAGAAGGGATTGTGGTGTGACTAACTGTTGACTAGGTTACAAGCCCTCCTGCACATTAGCTGGTTTCCAGTTCTGGCCCTGTTCCTTTATTTAGTATATGTATATATGTATTTTTCTTACGGGGCACGCGCACTCACCAGACAGGAGAGAGACAGAGAGAGGGAAAGTGAGAAGTCACCTTCCATGGGAAACGGCCCCGCTGCAGCCCCTTCTGCCTTCCCTCCTGGGATTTTTGGCATTCACTTGGTGTGATTTTCAAGCCTCCGGGCCTGGTTATCAGACTGCGGTTGGCCCTGTGGGAATCCAGTACCACCTGCTGGTCCCACTCTTTTCTTTTAATATTTTAATTAAATTTTTTTTTTTTTTTTTTTTGCTAGAGAGCATATGTGTTTTTGGGACCAGCAGTTGACGTAATGACTATGTCGCCGGACTCCCATGTAGTTGACCGCAGTTTGAGTCCTTGACCTGGTGGCTTAAACTCAGGCTGGGTGCATGTGTGTGCGTGCCCAAGATCCCGGGAGGAGAATGGAGGAGAAGGGATTGCCGTGTGGCCATCCCCCCGGGAGGTGATTTCTTGCTTTACGTCTTTCTGTCTCTGTCTTTCTGACTTGTGCACGCACCCTATAGTAAAAACCTCTCCAAAAAAAAAAGAGTATATGTGTTCTCTGGGGGAGAGAGAAAGAGAGTGATAAAGCACCCCCCCATGGGAGATGGTCATGTTGCAATCACTTCTCCTCCTTTTCTTCTGTCGTGACTTTAGGTATGCACACGCATGTACCTGGCATGTTTCTCAAGCCATCAGGTCTGGGATTTGAACTGCATAGTCGGCCTTGTGGGATCCAACTGCTTTAAACACCATGCCATAGGCTGGCCCAGTCTCTTCTGTTTTTGGTTTGGAGAGACTTTTGCTATAGGGAGTGTGTGCTTGCCACCCCCTGGGAGAGATAGCCAGGCTGCAGTCCCTTCTCCTCCAGTCTCTTAGGATTTTGAGCATGAATGCCCACATGCCTGGTGTGAGTTTCAAGCCACTGAGTCCAGGAATTGAACTGCAGTTGTCCACTTGGGAGTCCAACACTTTAACCACCATGCCACCTACTGGCTTCCGCTATTCTTGACAAAATCAAAGTTGTAATTAATAGAGTTGTCAGCTACTAGGTCATTAGGACTACTCTTTATTTTTTTCTTTTCATTTTATAGAGGGCTCGTGAGCTTGCCAGGGAGACAGAGAAAACGGGGGGTGGGGGGAGACAGAAAACACCTCCCATGGGACATGGTCACAGCGCAGTCTCTTCTCCATTTCTCCCTCATGTGAGGATTTGGGGCACACAGACTCATGCGCCCGCTGTGTTTTCCAAGCCAGTGGCGCTAGGGGTTCCAACACACAGCCAGCCACTGTGATCCAGCTCCCTCAGCCAGTGAGCTATGCGGCTGCTCCAGCTACTTAAACACAGATTTTAAAAGTATATTTCTTAAGAGGAAGACACACGCACACACACACATAGAAATTTCTGACAGGGTCTCGACATGCTGTGACACCACCCCCCACACACACCTAGCCTTCCAGCCCAGCCTGTCATGCTCGGGTCCAGCTGGGAACTGAACTCAGGGCCTTCTGATATGGTTCTGCTGTTGCACATGCCACCTGTGTCACCACGGCTGGCCTAAAACTACTTTTTGTGACTCAAAGAGTTTAGGGGGCCAGCAATTAAGGACACTGGACTCCCACATTGCCAACTGCGGTTTGAGTCCCAGACCTGGCCGCTTGCTTTCTCACTTTCTCTCTCTCACTCTCTCACTCTCACTCTGTCCCTCTCTGGTCAAATTAAAAAAAATAAATAAAGTTAAATAAAATAATTCTGTAAAAAATATTAAAAAGAGGGGACTAACAGGTGGCGTGGTGGTTAAGGTGCTGGACATTCCCACATAGCTAGCCACGTTCGAGTCCTGGACCTGGTGGCTTGCTTTCTTACTTTCCCTCACTCTCTTTGTCTCTTTCTCTGTCTCTCTCTGGTCAAATTAAAATAAATGGATGAATAAATATATTTTAAAAAAAAAGTTTAGAGAATGTCTTTTTTTTTTTTTTTGAGAGTTTTGCTATAGGATGCCTGCGCTCGCTAG